CTCTCTCTCTCTCTCTCTCTCTCTCTCTCTCTCTCTCTCTCTCTCCTCTCCCCCCTCTCTCTCTGCCATAAACGCAGTTATTATTTTATAAAATTATAGTGATAAAAACACAATCGTTATTATTTTATAAAATTATAGTGATAAAAACACAATCGTTCTATTTTATCTGAAAAAATCCACACATATATTCCATCTTGAAAGCTTACATATTTGTATTTAAAAATAGAAACAATTCGAATTGCCAGAATTAGATACACGAGAAAAATATTGTAATAAAAATTGCGTTAAAATTATATTTTCTTTTATATAATATTTTCGTTAATATTTTCTGTAAAGCTGTGTATTCTCTGTACCGTAAATGTACTTTGACATTACTACAAAAATAGCATAACATTTTTTACCAAATATGTATGTATTAGTTTCGGTCATAGTTCTGTGCGATTTAAGATTACAAAGATTTTGATGTAACCTTTACTACAACATTTTCTCTGTGTATGGCTCGGGAATTGGTGCGCTTTTACTCCCGAATAGAAATTTATCCCATGGTCCTGATCAGATTGACCCCAATGAGTCATTTAGTTCGTATGAGATGATGTTAATAAACACCCAATTATTAATAAGGTCATGATCGCGAAACAGAAAGCAAAATTGGTGTCCACCATAAAACTGATATATAACAATTATTATTTCAAACATAAGCCACGATATATAATTTTAGTGTAAATTTAACCATCTCTGAAGTCTTGAATTTCCACGTTGAATTTAACGTTATAATTTCATTTGAATATTATGCTAGTCCTATACGAAATATAATATGGTTATTTCATCTATAAAAGCACATACTCTCAATTCAATATTTCGTACTTTGTGTTAATGAAAATTATTTTCAAATAATGAGAACAGATTTTTCTTCATTGAATCATGTATAAGATATATTCCTGCAAGTAACTCATCATTTAGCGCCGTGCAAACTTGAAGTTTACGATGTAAAAAGAATAAAAATATTTCCCAAATATCCGCGTTAACATGACTCATTAAGATTCGATAAGCACACCTTATGGAGAAACCAGATGACTGATTGGAATCAACCTGATCAGGAAATCTGATCATGAGATGAATTTCTGGTTGCGGATTTATCACGCAAGTCAATAATTCTCGACGCTTCCTTAACTCGCAAGTCTGTGCATTAGCCGTTGCAACCGCTCGGAAGAGATGTCTCACAGAAACACACCTCTCTATTCACGCGTCGATAGACCCGCAGGAGTGTGAGGCAAAATTTCCGTGGCGGTCAGAAGAAACGCGAAGCGCACGCGGTGGAAGAGAG